GACCAGCACCTGTATATATTTTAACTGTTTGATTGAGATCTGTATGGATTATACATTTGGAGCTCAAATTAGTAAACACAATGTTGGTCAACCAACATTTAGAGCCGTTTAAAATAGACTGATTTCAGCCTGGCCTGTCACAGGTCAGTTACCAGGTTGGGGATAAAACGACAGACGTATTCTCACTGGTGATTAACTGGAACCATCCTGGATGTTCCAAGAGTTTTTGGTGTTCTGAAGAACCTTAGTGGTACAATTTGTGAACAGATGCACCAACAAACACTATTAAAGCTAATACAATCATGTTTTGTTAATTTTAAGTCTCTAGAAATCATGTTTTTGTTTCCCTTCTCTGAATCCATTAACATGGTTTTTGAAGCTCACAGATGCTTTTCTACGTCTTAGGTCTCATTTCTACGTGGAAGCAACCATATGATACAATTATGATTGAAGCCTGAATCACTTTTCTCAAGAAACCCAAGACCTGACAAGAACAGCTTTTAGAAACTGGTCTAAAAAAAGACAGTATTTGTGATTAATAGGTCTTGACTCACGCTCCTAGTTTGACTGAATTCTGTGATTTTAAAAGAAATGCATGACAAAGCAGGTCGGCCACCAGACAAACTTCTCAGCTTTGGATAGAGGACTTCCAAATTCTTTTAAAAACTTTAAATGTAAGCCGATGGAAACTCGATGTACCATCCAAATCTGTCAAAGTGTTAAATAAAGTTAAATATTTTATTTTCTGTTCTCAGTTCCGACATTAGGGATTACAATCGCTCAATTAATGGGTGTTTGATTTTGGAGGAACAGCTGATTTTGATCATTTCCTCCATTTCTGTATGAGGCAAATGATTTTTAGACCAAATAGGAAGGATCTTTACTTTTACATGTCAGTAAAATAAATAAAGTACATTAAACATGGTTTTGTCAAGCATTTTTTTGTTTACTCAGTGTTCATTTGACACATTTAAATAAATTATGAATACCTCTCTCCATGTTTCTCTTCATACAAATTTACATATTAAATTTCTAGAACAAAAAAAAAACAACCATTGGACACACTGTGTACATTTACATTATCTTCTACGTTGAAGTCAGTAGATGTGTCACATATAATAAATCTTGCTGGGCGATTAATTGTCTCAGAAATTATTGCGATAAACGATAATATTGTTTGAAATTTGACAATTAGTAATTATTGTCAAATTTAAGAAGAAATGTTGGTTAATTTTTGTGTGTAGTACCTTTTTTGACCACCGGCTGGCAGTATAGGATTGTTTGAACCAAAGGATGGATAGTGACGGAACAAACAGCGTGTTTGTAAGAAAATGGGAGGGAGGCCCCTTGACGTGACATGGGCTGTCTCTCGTTTCTGTTTTTCAGTTCTCAAAATGGCGAACGCTTTGTGTGGTTTGCGCTCATTAGCATAGTATTTTTCCACACAAAGTTTTTAGTAAAAAAATCAGTAAACAAGTTCTCAGCTTCTTTTTGCAAAGAAAACCAACTTTTTAGACAAAGGCACGGTTTTCAACCGTGAATTTTGGAGGAACAAGACGGAGTTTTTTTTCCCGAGGTCGGCCTGTCAGCTTAGCTCATAGCTTAGCTTCTCAGCTTAGCTGCTTTTAACCATCCAAAAACGCGATTTTGGATGGTTAAAATGGATTTTAAAGAAAAGAGAGAAAAAAGAAAGGAAGGGGTCAGTGAAGAGCACCAGAGTTGAGCCTTTTGTCATCCAGTGTCTTCAGTAGAAAGAGAGAGACACGAAGAAGCTAAGCTGATAAATGAAAATAAGGTTGATAATTTTCATTCATCATGGGATTAATTGATTTATTGTTTATTGTGACAGGCCTAAGTCAGTGTAATTATTTGCATTGTTCAAATAACTTAACTCATGTTGAAAGGTTTATTATTAGCATTAAAAAATGTCCAGATTTTCTCAACACTGCATTTATATGAGTAAATATCCAAAACCTGTCGTATAGTGCACTGAAGGTACATGGAAAGAAACTTAGCATCATCCAAACAGCTCTTGTTGTATTCATTTCTCAGTTACAAAAATTAATTCATAATTACTTAATTATTCACCCCGTGCCAAGTTCATGTTTTCTTCTTTTTTCAGTGCACATGCAAAGTAATGTAGCAAATAATGCCAGGCATGTTTGGTGTGCAACTCCTTCCTGTCCATGTGGAGCGATTTGTCAGATCCTGGAAAATAAGACCTCTGCATTACAAGATGAGCTGCAGACTCAGAAATCACATCAAAATGCCACATTTGAAGCAGTGGAGCCAGGTAAAATCAGTAAAAAAATGTAAAAATAAAATAAAATAAAACCTTGTGCTCTGTTAGGATAAGAACAGTCTGCCATCTTGTGGGTAAGGCAAAAAGTGATTCAGAAAGTCATAAGACATAAAAAGGCAATTCTTTGATCTGTAACATTTGCTTTTTTTATTTTAGGAATTTAGTTCTTACATAATGAAATAAAACTGGTGTGAAGTATTCCCAACAATTTATTAATCCCTACTGGAAAACAAGTCAGTAGTTTATTTAAACATTACAGCAGATACATAAACTAAATTAACTTTGATTAGGTAATCAAACTCACAACATTGTAAGGTCCTATTTTTTCAAATCTTATTTTAATTTGCTGATGTAACTCTCTGCATTGTGTTAAGAGTTTGGGCTGCTGATAGGACAGCACACTTCCTTTTGTCACTAGTCCAAATTCAGAATCCACAACAGACCTTCTCACACATCCACATAGTTGTCCACAGAGTGTGGAGTTAAATTGGGGTCATAAAGTTTGTTCAAATGAAAAATAAATTTGAAACTGAAAAAATAGTTCAAAGCTACTTATCAGATTCAAGTTGATCATTTTCAGTTTTAGGTCTTTTTTTTTTTCAGTTTCAAACTTTTGGCCCTGTTTTGGCGTGGGGGCGGGGTCTCAGATGACGGGGGTGTGGAATCATGACTGACAGCTCAATGCAGCTGCTGTTGCATTCAGGAACGGTGGGAACAGAAATTGTAAAACCTCATCGATATTCTATATTGATGTGATTCGTTTTGAAAGATAACAAGCTTCACCGATATAAGCAGCTTACATCAATATGACGCCACTCTCAGAGGAAAAAATATGATCTTGACAGATTTGTACTGCATTTTCATCCGTGTAGGAGATTTCCCATGCTCATGCTCTCAAAATAAAGTAGAAGAACCGCACATCCTGCGTCGCCGCCATATTGGACAGGTCTCCCCTCTCTCTAAGAGCCAACGGGATTAAACACAAAGCGAGTATACTGATTGGTTTACTGATTTATACTTTCAAAAGCACCCAGTGATTTTGCACCCAGTAGATGTGTAGTGCACTTTATTCATTTATATTAGATTGTGTATTGTTTTAGGATTGTATTAGTCAAATCATTTGTTGTTATATGTGAATATTTGTAGAAGTCAGTTAACGTTTTTACATAATAAGAATTATTAGGGGCTCTTGAAATGTCTTATTTTGCCATGATCATATTGATGAAATGGTTTCTTTTGAAGGTCAGTCATGGGCTTTGTCATCAACTTGGACACATTGAGGATGATCCCTGACGTGCTCCAGGTTCAGGTTATGTCTGCACATACCGCTTCAGTCAGGATCACTAGGAGCTTTTCTTGAATTCTGTCAGGCCATCAGATAAAATTGTAGCATAGATACATTTAAAATAAAAATACATTTAAAATAAATAAAATAATGCAATGTAAAATATAATGTAATACCACTACTATTACTACTACTACTACTACTACTACTACTACTACTACTACTACTACTACTACCACTAACAATAATAATAATAATAATGTAATATAATGTAAAATAAATTTAACATTTACAATAAATCTTTTTGGTTCATGGACCAGACCGGATCTGTAATTTTAATAGAGATTTTTTTCGTACCTATCCCTTGTTTACAGTATGTTATGATGTGATAGACCTCTTCAGACACCAGTGCACATCTTTTTTATAGCTGCCTGTGGGGAAAATATTTATACAGTTTCCTTACTTACCCTCAGACTATATGTCTTTTACGGCTGTGACTGTTCTCATCAAACATCTCTGTAATGTAAGTGTGTAAATTTATTTTTAAATTTTTTAGTAGGCTAGAATAACAATCCCATGCAGGGCAGTTTCATGGCATTTTCCTCTGTCTGATGGTCCATTGTGGTGTCTCACCAAGTGGGTCAGGCAACGTGGCAGTAGAAGATGAGACTGTGTCCATCAGTTGCAGACATGCAGCTTCCGTCCACATTTACAAACTTCTGGAGTCATTTGTGGCCAGTTACCTGCCCACCTGCTTTGGTGATCTTGTGGAAATGCCCTGGTCTACATTTCAGGGTTTGTTGTCAGAAAAATTCTGAAAAACCTGTCCTTTGAGGCGTGCCGTAAAGCTTCGTCACAGTTGCTGTACCCTGATCCTTTGACCAGAGCTACCACCTGCTTCAACTTAAAAACAGTGGTGGGCTGATGATCCCCTCAGAGAGAACAGTGAAGGTGGTCAGAGCAGTCGAGCGTGTGATTCACCAAAACTCAATGAAACAAGGTGTCAATGTGTCCTTCGGCAACCGTTCTGTTTGGGCTGAGATTGGTTCAGAAGATGTGTTTTTACTTGATGAGCACATTGCAGAACCCCAATTCGGAATTGAGGACCATCATTTCATGCTTGTGTCATTTGTACCTTTTTTTCCCTCACAAAGTATTTCAGCATGAAAGCACGTATGGGTTAGAGACCCATCCAAGATGGCGGCAGCGCAGAAGGTATTTTGGTATATATTCAAGTCTTCGTGCAATAATTCCCGCAAATATAGTATATTTGGTAATATTTTAACAGGTATGACATAACTGTTAGTAATGCTTTGAATGTTACCAAATCGGTCATGCTTTTTCAAGCAGTTAATGTTTGTCATGTGACGTCACATCCTGTATCCGCAGCCCGGTGTCACACCATTTACTGTCCGTCAGGCTAATCGCTGAAACAAATCCAGTGTGTTTGTGTTTTTGTGTCCGTGGGTTGAATGCTGTTAATGGACTGTGTGGAGCAGACAAACACAAATGCAGAAGCTCCTTCTGTTATCGACCGATACTTCACTCGGTGGTACAGAGCAGGTTAGTAAAGTTTCAAATTAAAATGCCTTCTAAAGCTAAAGAAGCTAACGGAGAAGCTAACTTTTGACAGTTCGGAAAACTATAAAGAAGCTAATTCAAAGTGTCTCTTAAACATTTTAGATATGAAAGGAAAACCGTGTGAAGACCACTGCATCCTTCAACACTCAAACAGGTAACAGACAGGTGAAACACCAGGTAGTGATTAAACACAACTCGAGTAATCTCATACACCTGCCTATACATGTGCTTGATTTTACGTTCACTTTTTATTTAGCTAATATTCCTTTTTGCAAATCATTTAAAAGTTGCTTAACAATTATATACAACTTATGACGTGGTAAAAAATACCTGCTTAATTCTCATATCACAGTTTTTGTTTTGTGACTGGTTGAATCGAATTAGGTTTTCAAGTTTATGTTCAAGATACCTGACTGAATAATTTGGAGCTAACATTATTATTATTATTATTATTATTGGTGCTGATTGTGATATTATGATTACTTTTTGTATATTTTATATGATGTTATTCTACCATGTTGTTTTCAATATTTCTTTTGCACTTTGTAAATATATTTTTCACTTTTTTGTACTTTTATTTAGTACTTTTATTGCATACTTTATTATTTCTTATAGCGAATCGAAATGGTTCTTCTCATCCTGAACATTTCATTGCATTGTTGACTTTGTGTTAACATCCATCCATCCATCCATTCATCCTTCCTTCTTTCCTTCCTGGATTGCGGGGGTCACTGGTGCTCATATCCAGCAGTCACTGTGCGAGAGGTGGGGGACACCCTGGACAGGTCCAGTCCATCACAGGGACACATACATACAAACGAGACAACCAACCATTCACTCACACCTAGGGACAATTTAGAGTTACCAATCAGTCTAACATGCACATGTTTGGTATGTGGGAGGAAACTGGAGTACCTGGAGAAATCCCACACATGCACTGAGAGAACATGCAAACCCCACCCAGAAAGGTCTGGGTGGAGTTTTGTGTTAGCCGCTTTGTGTTAACCTGCATATGAGAAGTAAATAAACAACAAACCTAAAGTGTTTGATAGATTTGAGAAATGTCCATTTTTCTGTTTGCAGAATTTGTGTCGTCACCTTAGCAGAGACCCACCCGATCCTTCAGAAAGGATGCACAATCAAAAACATCAATTACCAGATCAGTAATGGCTGCAGTCGCCTGAATAATAAAGTGTCTGGGAAGTCCAAGCGGGTAACGTTTTGAACGTGTGGCTGTTGTTTGTCAATGCTTGTAAAACTTTTGTGTTATTAATCCTCGTATTTCCCACCGCTGGACAACAGGGAGGACAGTTTCTTACTGATTTCGCACCTCTGTGCAGGATAACATGCTCCGATGAAACAGAGTACACCATCTACAGGTGAGGCGTCATTTTTCTCAACATCTATTCTTGTTGTGACGCGTGTCATCACTCACTCAGTCGACTGTTTCAGTTGCATTCGGGGACGTCTTCTAGAGGTCAACGAGAACATCTTGGTAACCCCAAATCTCTTGCTAGAAAAGGTACGTTTTACTGCTGCAGTTTGAATCTTTACATTAGATCATAGATAAATCCAAATTAGTTTTAATATATACTGAAACGCTTCAGTTGTGTTTTTTAAACTCCTAACAGCCATCTACAGAAGGATACATCGCCGTCATTCTGCCCAAGTTTGAGGAAAGCAAGATCATAACAGAAAACCTCCTGACACGAGAGGCGTTTGAGAAGATGGTCTCTGAACGCCACCAGTCCAAACCCTCCTGATGGGCCTTCTGCTGAGTTCAAATATTAACCATTAAAGACTGGAAATATTATGAGTTAAGTGGGATAAAGCTACTCCTCACAGAGTTTTTTTAAATGACACAAGCACTGCCTTCAGCTATTTCTTGTTTTTCAAGGTAAATAATTTTGTTGAAGGGTCCAGGACGTGTTTAACTTTGACATACTTTATTTATGACTCTTTGTAGCCAGTTTGGGAAAAAAAACACCACATCTGGATTCTGTTGAATAATTTTGTTTTTTTCTTATTAAAAATAAAGAGAAGCTATTTAGGAAAAAATATTTTTTATTTTGTCCCACAGTAAATAACCTTTTCCGATTTCGAAAAACTAGGTGATTCAAAACTATATTTTCCCCTCGCACACATCTGTTGCTTTAATACCAAGGATTTTTACCTGCTGTTAAACAGTACAAACACGATTTCTCTAAAGCTTACTGTAGATTACACATTTCAGTCTCATCCGCGCCTAGTACCATAGTCATTACCTCATGATCATATACAGTTTACTTCAAGTACCATAATATTTATACACATTAACTTGATACATGTCGGCCTGTTTTGCATCTTTACAGTGATCGTCTTCGTAACAAGTACACTTGAATGTTCCATTTAACAAAGAGCGACTATCAGTCCACCTGAAAGCAATAGTTCAGACATTTTGAAGTGGGGCTCAGTGGGGATGTTCTGAAATCTGTAGCTCAGGCTTCTATAAAACGTTTGGGAACTAAAAAAAAAAAGGGTAATTCACTTAGACGTTAAAGGTTTTTACAAGTCTCTCTTGAAGACTAACCTGCATAAATAAAGGTTGAATGAAGGACACTGACTAGCCATTAGCTCTTCATTTCAGTCAGAAATAAACAATTCCTCCAAGTCGAGGTCCGTTAAGGAGTTGCGTACAAGAGGACAGATGTTAACCATTCAAAACTTTTCCACAGAATCCCTCTTTGAAAGATCTGAACTATCACTTTATAGACAAGCTGTTAAAAAAAAAAACAGTGATAAAGACTTGATCAAAGTGTCTTTTGCTCAAATATTAAGAAGCTAAAGATCAGATTCTTCACAACAACAGTTGCATTTGGGATGAAAATATTTTATAAACATGGCACATGGGGAATGTTCTGCAGTAAATCTGATGACAAACAGACCATAATGATGTAACTTTGTACAATACATTACAAAGTGAGATGCTATTATAGATATCACCTGCATGTCTAACACATAAAACTGTTAACGTTACAAAGTTGGGACCGTACAGAGTTTGGTAAAGATGGAGTCTTTTCTGGTCACTGTATTTGTTTTGTAACTCGTGCAACACGTTTACAGCACAACACAAAACAAAGAGGCACATAGTGAAGACACATCTATGGCTGAACTATGCACCAAATGAAGTTCTCCCCTATCATTTATAATCATTTTATTTATCATTTATAATCTATACGAGACAAGTGGCTTCAAAGGTTAGATTTCTTTAGACTTGTGTTGGCTGATTGTCTCCATCTAGTGGACAAAAGTAGAACTGGTGCTTCTGGAAACCAGAGTGTGGAAGAAAACCCCACAGGTGGAGACAGTTTGGATCTGCATTTAGTCCTGCAGTTCTTCGCCCAGATGTTGAATACAGAATGCATCATCTTCACCCTTACAGCTGCAGTTAAGTTTCATGGATTCCAGGTTGTCTGCAGAGTAAAGTTGCGTATGTGGTGCTCAGACACGGACATGGAGAAGAAAAAGCAGATTATTTGCTCTCCAAGAGGTTGAGAGCAGCCATGTGCTGCTCCATGGCTTTGACACCGAAGCCATTAGTGTTTCTGCTACTGACGGAGCCCTCGTCTGTGACTGGAGTGGATGCATCCTGCCTTTCCCTCCACTCCGGCAGGGAACTAAGGCTGGTCTTCTCTGATTTGTACTGCAACAGGACAGAGAATAAATTACATGGGGGAAGAAGCACCGAAAACAGCACATTTGGCTTTTACAAGTGTTGCATTGTTGTCAGATTTTGTAACTTTTTGTCTCACTTTAACTCATCAGTTTAAAAGATTTGCTTCAAAGTATTTTTTTCTACTCATTAAAGATTTCTGCTCAAATCTTAAATCTGACTGTGAAATGGTTAAAATAAGGCCAGTGCATTTCATTTTTTTCTTTTCTTGATGTAATAAATGGACAAGCAAGTGTTGCAGTGTGGCACCTTTTTGTGGAGTTTGTTACAGAGGGGGAGGAGGGAAAGTACCACAGTCACGATGTTTCTGCTCGTCTGAATGGATGAGTCCACCTAGAGACAAAATAAACTCTTCTACATCATTGCTTCAAAAACAGTAGCAGGAGCTGCCTGCAGATTTACACTGCACATGGTATTTGATACATTTTAGACTCATTTTGAGGATCAAGTTCAATATTTTCATTATTCCATGTGATAAGAGGAAAAAACAGGTTCCTTGTGTGTTTTATTTCTATAAATAAGAGAAAAATCATTAATTTAGACAACTTTTAGCTGCAGTAGAAACCTGCAGTTTTCTTAGGAACTAAGATCTCCCCCTTTGTTCTCCACCTGGTCAGACTCCAGAACTTTAACAATGTTAGACTGAAGCCACTCCCATATTTTATCAGAACTTTTTTTTTACTTTTTCTCAAGTCAAGTCACACTAATATACACTAATGTACACTAAACGGATGCTCAACGGTACGCAAAAAGATCTAAGGTATATGCCAGTCACTAATATTGCAAACAATACACCAAACAACAGCAGCGTGATTCTCGGGTTCGGTTTGTCTATACCAGGGTCTGCAAGCTGTGGCTCTGGGGCCACATGTGGCTCTTTAGTCCCTCATCTGTAGCTCTATGAAGCTTTGACCAAAACTTACAGGAAATTTAATTGTTCTGGTTTTTATACACACAACAAAAAAGGCTAGTTTTGGCAGTTTTTTTTTTTTTTGGTAAATTTTCTGCAAATGTTTGAGCAACACTACTTTTTTTTTTGCTTTATTACTTCAAACTTGGATACTTAATTTCTCCTCACATAAAAGGCCACTAATGCTTTCATTTTCATCTAAAGGTAGAAACTAGAAGTTTTTACTTATTTACATCATAGACTTGTTTTTTGTCCCAAAATGTAAAAATATCAATAAATGTTAAAATTCATTATTGATTTATTATTATTTTTTTTAAATATCACCCCCACTTGTCAGAAAAAAAACCTCCAACTATCTCAAGGTGGCCCATGAGCCACCAGTTGATCGTCACAGTTGTAGCAGGTTTTGTGGCTCCGGGCTCTTTTTTTATTTAATGAGCGAAGGGGCAGAAATGGCTCTTTGATCAAAAAGGTTGCAGACCCCTGGGCTATACCAAAGCATGCAACAAAAATACAGAAACAAGGCACCAAAAGTGAAAAAGAAATAAATCTACAGCAGCATGGTCGTACTGGCAGAGTGGTTCTAATGACAGTGAGGTTGTTTTAGCAACATGGTCCTGTTAGCACCACGGTAATGTTAGCATTGTGGTTTGGTTAGCCAGCATTGTCTTGTTAGCAGGTCCAGTCAGCAGCTTGATGGTAACAATGACCACAGCAGCTGCCCTTCCAGACTGCCCTCCAGAACTGGGTCCGGCAGACGGAGAACATCCAAAGTTTCCTGTGGAACCGAATGGGTCCGCAGAGTTCGGTCCATGCAGGCAGATGGAGGATCATGGAGACAGCCGCCATGACAGGCCTGAGCCCGAGGCTGGAAGGACTGAACCATGATGGCACGATGGCAAAGCAGCAACACAGAAAACTCCACAAGTGTGTCGCGGTCATACCCGTACTGTGGATGTACATTGTAGGCACAAAACAAAGTTAAAACAAAAGCAACAGGAACATAAAAAGATTGAGTCGAAGTGGAAAAAAATGTTTGTTTCTGCCACAACATAAAAACATAAAAATCCCCAGGAGGTGAAGCAACACGGCTCATTTTGTCAGATTGGAACATCCACCTGGATGTTGTGGTTCATTCTTCCACGAACGTGTGACATGAAACAGTCAAACTCTCAATCTTGTGGATCATTTCACTCTTACCTGAAGGTTTGTTTAAGGACAAATAAAAGCTGTTTTATTAATGTTCAGGAAGTGCACATAAGATGAAATACAAAGACAAGAGCAGAAAGATCAGTGAAAAAGAAAGAATCATCACTCTGGTCTTAAAACTCATGTTGGTGGGATTTTTCAGTCTTTTCTGTCACTATATAGAATATTTAAATCTATAAATTAAATTAGACATGTAACAGACTCGAACCCTCAGCGGTTGCTGTTGATGAATCACAGTCAGATGGAGTCATTTATCAGCAGAGGACAAGCTCCTCATCCTTTTGATTCAAACCTTCGCCTTTTATGACGCAGCGACTTCAGGAAACTCATCAGCGCCTCATTAATTCCTCACAGACGCCCATTAATGGAGCACTCTGTGTTGGATGCTGCCGTTACTTACAGATCGCTCCAACACAAAGACGTAGTTACTAAAAAGCACTGTGTGCGTCACGGACACACTGTGGCCGAGGCTTTATTGCAGATGCATTCAAAGCTAAAAGCTGAGAAATAAAAGTATTGGCTGTACGCCTGCCCTGCTCACAAACCTAATGAGCACAAATCGATCAAATTACAGGTAAAAATAAAACACTTGCGCTCGTCTCTAAATAAACAGTGTAGTATGGGTACCTTCTGGAAGGTGGCAGTCTTGCCCTGCACAGGAGTCTTGGCCCCGATCTGCAGCTGTTGGCACAGCCCCAGCAGTTTCTCAGTTTCTGTCAGCAGCACAGACCTTTCCTCATCAACCAGCTGCAAACAGAAGAGGAGCAAGTTGTCTGCAGGCAGGCAGGGTTCATGTGTGCAGATCTGGACAGATTGACTGCAGTTAACGTGGATAATAACCTAAAATCAAAAGTGATTTTTAATCCAGGAGTGCTTGTCATTTTATGACTTCTCCAGTGAGGATAATGGTGGTGTGCTGTAAGCATGCTGGGTGCCAAATCAGAGCAGAGGGCTGCATTAGAACCAGTTTGTTTGATGCGATTAATTGGAAAGTACGAGGCAGGTTGAAAAACCCGTGTTTCACTGCATCTGCTCAGAATTCACACGTCACATCTACACACGTGGGGAAAAAATACACATCCCAGCAATGAGTAATGGTGGTCGTTAAAGGCTGTCAAACAGAGCCTTCTGATTTCACCTGGAGAACCTGGGGAAGGAGATGGTCCAGGAGCAAGAGGAAGGAAGGAAGGAAGGCTCATGAGTTGTGTTTGTTTGTTTGTTAGCTCTCCGTTTTTGAGAGGAAAAGCGATGTGCGACAGCCTTAATTTCCTGCTCTGGTTGAGTGATTTATAGGCAGCAGACATGCCAGAATGGGTGATACGGGTGTGTGAAGGAGATAGAGGTGCTGACACATGCACCAGTGTTTGTGTGCAGAAGGAACCATCACACCCTGCCCAAAGGAAAAGAACATGAGTTTGCATATCATACCTTCTGGTCCAACCTTTGCATCATAAATGTGTCATTTTGTAACAAGACAATATGTTTATTTACACTCCCCTGTAAATAACGCTGCTTCCTGCAAGCTGCAACCCAAACAAAATGTCCTTTTTTTCTTATATCCCCATAAATATAACATTTATTTACACTTTAAAACACTCACATACAGTTTTAAATTGTAAAGCTATTAGTAGCCTTCAAATTATATAATATCTAAATGATAAGGGAGGGTTTTAAACTCTAGTAAAGAAGTGTTTTGCAGTATTTCTATCTTGGTTCGTTCTAAAATATCTGCACTGCGAATATTAGGGTGCAAAATTATTGAATTTCTCTCATGTGGATGTCGTCATCTTTCATCTTCACTCTGCTGCACTAAAACATTCACTGAGTTTTAAAAAGAACACAATTCTAAAGCAGCACTTCAGAAAACAATCTCTTAGTGGTTATGTTGACATATATAAATGTTTTCAGGCTAATAGAAGAAATGTGATTTTTTTTTTCTTTATCTAATTTTGTTGCCATTTTTTGTAATCTGAACAACGGATCGCATTGTGTTTTCCTCTTCAGCTTTAAACTGTGTAAACAAATGAACTGGGTAGTATTTACCTGAGTGGAAAAAGTGCGAAGAGATGAGCAGAGCTGGAGTCCCTCTTCAGACAGAACCTTAAAAATGACCAAAAAAGAAGGAAAAAAAAAAAAGAGAGATTTTAGATAAAAACAACAAGTATTTGTTTATAATTTCACCAAGAAGATGTACATTAGACAAAACAAAAAGCACCACATGCGGCACATTCCACGCCCATCAAACTATTATACAACAATCTATAGCAACGGCTGGGACAAGCAAAGACCTCGTTTTAACTTTGACTTACATTTGTGACCTTAGGCAAGGAGCTGGAGTGATGAAAAGTGTACGCAATACTCTACCTAGTGATGACGCACGTAGTTTCATTAAACCATCTTGAGCCGATCAGAAATTATCAGAAGAAAAAGTTTATGGATGTACTTTGTATGTATGGAGACTACAGTGGTCCCTTGTTTATCACGGGGGATCCGCACCCTGAAGCCCCGCAATAAGTGAAAAACCATAAAGTAGGAATAGTAGTACAAGTAGTAAGTAGTAGTTTTTTTTAGTATTTTTATATATACCATATTTTTCTGACCATAAGGTACACTTAAAATCCTTTAATTTTCTCAAAAATCGACAGTGAGCCTTATAATCCGATGCGCCTTATGTATTAATTATCGTTGTGCTTACTGACCTCGAACCGATTTTATGTGGTACATGGCGCCTAAAAATGTGTATAGTTTTGTATTTTATGTGTTACAACTGAACAGTGTTGAGAGTTATTGTGAACGAGTTGAATAAAGTTTGACTTATCTGTTTTGCTTTGCTTAATGCACCTTATAATCTGGTGCGTCTTATAGTCCCGAGAAATACAGTATGTATATATGTGTGTGTGTATTAGGGATGCACAATATTATCGGCATGGTATCAGCCGATAATAGCATTAAAGTTAAATATCGGCCATTCCATCAAAATAACTCAACAATATAAAAGGTGCTGCTTTTGTATGACAACCCAGTAACAAGGATGCCTGCAGCGACAGCACAACATGATGACATCACATGTGCTACCTGATCTGATCACGGTGGAGAGGAAGAAGTCAAAATGTCGGCGGTGTGGAAGTTTTTTCGTTGAGGATGTCGGATTTCGAAGATTTATGGACTACAATGAGCCTTGCTACATCGTCCCCAGTCTGAGATATTTTTCCGACGTAGCCTTACCCGAGTTACAAGCCGTCATTTCCGACGTCATTGAGAAGCTAATAGCTGATAGCATTTGGGTGAGTTTTACCACTGACATTTGGACGTCGTGTTAGCCCCATTAGCATGATTGGTCTTACAGCACAATGGATAAACAAAAACCTTGAACTTAAAAAGTCTGTACTTCAAGAGTGCAGAGGATCCCACACTGCAGCTAGGAACCTGGAACAAGCCTCCACACGTGAGACAGCATCACAGGTGACTAATACCATTAACACTTTTTATTTAATATAAGTTAAAGTGCTCTGAATATCATATGGCTGTTACAGAATATATGTCACCAACTCTTACAGCTGTTACACAATTTTTGTAGCAAATAAGACTAAATAGGAGGGCTATGTTCTGACAAAGGAAAGTACCTGTATATATATATATATATATATATATATATATATATATATATATAT